GTTTTGTAAGCATTGGTGCAGAGGTGTCCAATACATCACACATAGCTTCCATGCAGTTGAGGAGGAAAAGAAACTTTTTGTCACTATCTCGTTCCAAACAATTATGTTGCAAGCTAATGGTGTATTCACTTTAAGAGACAACTTATAAAAAGTATGTCAATGCGTAAAAGCCTCAGTGAACTATTATACAGAAACTTATTAACAAATGTTTTCCAAAAAGCTCTGAGGAAAATGAAAAATATTTCAAGAGGAAAAATAAATACTCTGTTCCTTGTTTGGGTGTACACATGTAATCCTCAGCTAATCATATCCCTCTGTAATGTACTGTTCAGCACTGAGAGAGGCCATTACTGAGAAGAGATAACATAAGGTAAATGTCAGCGACAAAATGCTTCTCAACAGGATGAAAGAGCAACTGAACAGTGCATTTAACAAAATGACATGCACCATTACCCTGCAGCACAGCGCTTTCAACAGTTTTGGTCAGGTATGGAAGAGAGGCCTGTTTAGAACAGTGGGCATATTTGAGCTAATTATTTTTTATAGTCATGATACAGTGCCCAAAGATATCAAACAGCTCCCTGGAACTCTCCTGTACTATTTAATTATTTTCCATGAAATCTGCTGCCATTTAATACTGTACTCATAAACATATCCTAGTTGTCCTTGGACTTTGCTTTAACCTGTGTCACTCAAAACAAAGGTGTGTCAAGGAACTGCTAAAGAAAGTCTACATCTATTACTACATCTTAGTGCTCTTTAACTAACACCAAAACCAGATCAGTTTCACAATTTTCTTCAGACTGAGGTGCTGCCAATCATTTAAATTTAATGGGTGGTCTCATTTTATTCCAAATTTTATTAGGAATGCCATCAGTAACTGTTCTTGAACAACTTCCAGTATACAGATTTTTATTTATAATAAATTCACACAGTCAAGGGATTATTCAGTAGTTACCAGCATAAATTCTAGATCATGAAGAGCACTGGGGCAAACAAAAAAACCTGCACCAGTTTTAGTCAACACTATCTGTGGACCACTTCTAAGTCTTATTACCTAAAGTTGTATCAATGTTTGCTATAACAGCATTTACTTAAAAAGGAGATTGAGAACTTTAAGCTGTCCATGGGTCCAAACAGTTTTCAAAGAAGACAAAAGACTTGCAGTGACCATTTTGTTTACAATAGTCTAGCTTCACCATTGGCTCCTTTAGTTCTCAAAACTATCCCACTCCTTTTCCCTCATCATAAAAAGCATTTAATGGATATAGCTTCCACTATTTCAGCATCATAAAAACAATGTTCTCTTCCAAATACAGAAATGAACAATCTGCAATTCTTCTGCCAAGATGAGAGGAAGTAGGGCAGAACAACATGGAAGTATTCTCTAGACTTCCTCAGCAATCAAGATAATCCAGAATCTTACAAGAAGAAGCATCCATGCAATTCAAATGCATAACCATTCCCAAATTTTCACAAGTAAAAAACCAAATGAAAATTCCAGTATATAAGAAATTTATACCTTCTGTCCCTGTATGTAATTGAAGTACAGTAGACTTCCAAAGCTTTCAAAATGGATATAACACACTGCTTTTTTATCTACCAATACATTATTTGTGAAGTATTCTGTGGAGGATTGTTTGGCGTTGCTTATTTGTTTATTGGGGGTGTGTTCCATCGTTTTACTGCTTCTTTCTTTTCGTTTTGTGTTTGTTTTGGTTTTTTTTAAAGTAATCAGCTTCTTATACTACATTTCTAGGACACCATCTGTACGTTAAAGTGAAACTTGAAGATAAAACCCCATTTGCTTGAAAATCCTCAGAACCTGAGGGCACTGATGAAAGGCAAGCAGCATTTAGCTGATTTGTACAGAAACACCTGATATGGAATAACGTGCATTGTTTGATGTGAACAGCTTTGTAACTGCTTCCCTAGACAATAAAAAAATCTAGACATTTGCATTCACAACTGCTCTCACAGCATTTTTAAGGGTCAGACTGTACAGCAGCTGGTGCATCTCCTGCTTTAGCAGAAGTCAAAGACAATTTTTGTCACTGACAGGTCACCAGTAAAGAGCATGTGTAGTGCCTCAGAAAATTTTGGTGGATACTCTGTTGCCTTTGGATTTGAATATTTCTGTTAATGTTCAGAGTAAGTAAGTACAGTAAAATACTTTAAATCTACTTAATGTTAAAAATAATGCAATTTTGATTTTTTTACTTGTTTTCAAATAAATATAGGAAAATTTAGACACTTGAAATTAAGGTCATGCTGTATATATGACAATGACATCTCTGATGAAGCTCTTCATTTTATTCAAGCAACCACTGAAGAATGACCTAAAATGTAGTCACAGGGAAGAGCAGGAGATAGGTGGGGAGATGGGGAGATGCAGTCATAGGGTAGCTCTCCCCTTGACCTAAAAAGTCTTATTTATCAAAAATACAACAACTTCACAAAAAAACTATTCTCCTCTGATTACATTTCAACCCACTAGTCACGATAGTCTCAATAAAGGAATCCCACATTCCAAACTAAATACCAAATTGGGCAAAAGGGAAATTTCTCCTTCAAATCTCTTTGCTGAGTCCAAATCATCATATTCAGGGGATTGGCTGTTAATCTGAACAATTCTTTAGGCTGCCAGTCAGTAAGACCTGTATACCAAGTAGAAAACCACTGGTGTTTTAGATGAAAAGGTTTCATCTAAATGCCACCTTCTTATGGATAGGGTTTTAATTCTGTTACTCCCTAGCTTTTTCACCTCAGCTTGCATATATATGTTGTACTATCTTCTTTGTAAAAAAAATGAAATTCACCTATTTATAATTTGCAATCTACATAAATAAAAGACCACAAAACTCAGAAGTTTGATAATATATGATGGCTGAAATTATGGATTTTTAAAGAACTATGACCTAAAATTTTTTTAAAGGTTAATTTTTTTAACAGCAAAGACTAATGGCTTAGTCTTTTATTTTATTTTGCTTTCTTTGTATTAAATTGAGCAGTACCTCAGAAAACAGTTGTGGTTAAGGTTCCCTTTAAAACAGGAGTGATGACAACTGCCTAAGAGCTGGCTGCAGTACTGATCATGTTAAGAATGCAAATGTCCTTCGCATTTTGTCCCTCAAGGTTTTCTATTTCTGTATCACAGCTGACACCCTCACTTTCCATTTTCGGCATGTAAACAGAGACATGGAAATTGATGGCTGTATGAAGTTAGGTTGACATGCAAAAAGAATCATTTATTCTTTGCCTCCATTAAAAACACAAAAATATGCTAGTATTTACTTCAGCTATCTCTAAGACAATAGCAAACAATAACAAAAATGTTAGGTACTACACCCTCAAAAAGCAATAAACAGTAGACTATGAATCTCATAAATATACTAAATTTGCATCCTGCTAAATGTATTTGCTTGATGATTAGAGTATCCCTACAATTAAATTCTAATTACCCTGCTTAGCAGTAATCAATTCTTATCTACATCATTAATTCATTTATTGGCTTCCTCTCTCCAACAATTTATTTGCTTGCCTGTGCTTCATCCTTCCTTCTTTTAACAGCCTACATCATCCCCAGCAGTTTTTGTTCCTCCCACACTCAGTTTTCTCTCTTCTGATCCTTTCTGTTCCCAGAGAAGGTTCCTCCCACCAATTAGTAGTTCCTTATCAAACTCCATTTTATCATGTAATTCTACATGTACCCCAAATACCTGCATCCTAGTATTGTCCCCACCATATAGAATTTAGTATAAGAAGCTGTTACCTTTCATTCATCTTTCACAAACATAGAAAATGCAATAAATGTTTGTTTCTGATTTTTAAGTTTTAGCCAGGTAATAGCATCAGATCATACTACTTAATAAACTGCAACTCTTCACTACTCTCTTCAACGTGTTATTCACTATACAAATATCTTATTACTGAATACAACAGACATATCCCTCTCTCCTTGAAGTCAGTTCCTCACAAGCATAGTCATTCAGACAGCTGGAAGACAGGGCAGCTTTGGTAAAATGAATCTGTCAAAATTAGCAGTTAAAAATGTTTTATTTTACAATAGTAATTCTGAGAGAGAACTATCTGTAGCATGAAAAAGTGTGCAAAGCCTTGTTTTTGTTTTATGCTTTACATTTTTCTTTCAGTTTTGAAGATTCACATAGACCACTATAGTAAAATGATACTACAAGAAGAAAACTGCAACTGTGACAAATTAATTTTAAGGCTAATACCTGGAACAAGTGGGAAGCTGTCTCTCCTAACTGAATAACCCAAAATAATGTAAAATCCCTGGATTCTTCAGATGAGCAATAAAGGCATTTGCTTTTGAACAGTATGCTCAGACACTGGGGCAGACTAATAAAGCTTGAACACATTTTCATCATGTAAAATTGTCCCTCAAAATACTCCTTCCTGTAATTTCCTGAAATGACCTTTTACCTCTCTTTATTAAGAGGGACAATATTTTCCTGTAAGGAAAAAGTTAAATTTGAAATTACAGTCCCAATAATGATGTGTCCTATCACTGTTTTAGTTATTCAGACTTTCTCTTTCAGATTACATGTATTCAGTTTAGTGTCTGATTTTACATTTTCTCCTGAGGTTTTTTTGTTGTTGGGTTTTGGGTTTTTTTTAAAAATATAAATATAATGATATGCAGTATAAAACAGCAAGTGAAATTCAGCTCTGGTATATTTTTCTGCTATTTAATGAAGACCTATTTATCATTTGATTTTCCAAACCAAATGACAGATTATCCCAAAGTATCTTAGATGTACACCTCTGTCTTAAGCCAAAAACCAGAAACCTGACTCATTCCCTACTGCCAATCTTTAAACATAATTAATAAATCATATGGCATTTCTGACTGGGGATGGTGTTTGTCAAGCTTACAACAGTTACCAGTTCGATGCAACTCCAACACTTCGCCAGAAGAAAAGACAGCATACTACCACACTCAAGAATTTGGGTTTCAACTGTGAAAAAAATCTTACTGGTCTGACATCCCCACATGAGTTGGTAAATTGCCGTGCTAAGCCGAAATCCAGCATAAAACACTTCCTACAAGTGCTTGGAAAACGTCCCATTGCGAAGTTTGACTAGGAAGAAAAAGAAATACAGACAGATAAGAGATGAATACACACAGGTTTCAATATGTTCACATATTAATGCAATAACACAACCAGAAAATTAATATTCTATTTGTCTATCCTTCCATGTTTTAACTTCTACTGAACTCCCAATAAATTTGAAGAAAATGCTGTTAAGAGAAACAGGCATCCAACTTAGCATATCTGAACAGTGGCCTAAATTGTCCAAAGAGCTTGTCATCTTACTTTATCATGTCGAATATATTAATTTTTAGCAAGAATTTTCTAATCATGTTACCTACTCACAGAATTTCAGTGTTGCCTAATTGGTCTCAAGGAAAACAAACCATCAAGGATTTCAAGATCGGAGTTCAGCACAAAGCAGAGTTAGTTCCAGCTAATTTTTTCTCACCAATTTCACTTGACATCCACTGCCTCTATGCTCTTTTCATATTAAATGAAGGCTTAAATGGGGATGGGTCAGGGGGAATACAAGTTTTATAAAAAGTTGCCAGGAAGAAGTGATGGAAATGAAATTTTCCTAATGTACAGAAACTTGTTGGAAGTTTTATGTAAGCATCATTCAGCTGACAGGAAAGTTAGCAATATATGTCAGATATAACAAACTGTCACTGTCATATTTTCTGGAAAAATCTCTTTGCCCAGGATTTTGCTCCTGGGAAGCTGAGAAGCCTCAGAGAAAAAGGAAAACAATAATTGTTTGGTTTGCTTCTCCTGTGTTTTGCTGCTTTGGAATGCGTTTGGACATTGTTTACCAACAGGCAATTGTTCCATTGGTTTCATGTGAATTGTTTTGACTTAATAGCCAATCACGGCCAAGCTGTGTCGGGGCTCTGGAAGGAGTCATGAGTTTTCATTATTATTTTGTTAGCCTTCTGTAAGTATCCTATCCTTTAGTATAGTTTAGTTTAGTATTCTTTAATATAATATAGTATCTTAAAATGATAAATTAGCCTTCCAAGAACATGGAGTCAGATTCATCATTCCTTCCTCCCTTTGTCTGGGAACCCCTCAAATACAATAACAAACTATATTTGCATCTGTTGAAAACACAAAAATTTGCTTATTTTTCCCATTTACAAATTCTGGCACTTCAGAGTTCTAATTATATTTGTCATACAGAGCAATATCAAAAATAGGTGACTGAATTTCAGGAATAAATTCAAAGTAAAATAGAAAATAGTAAGAACAAAAGCATGATACTACCAGGAAGGCAGTCTCCCCATGCTAACCTATTAACAATAGATCTAATAAGAATTTCACCATGAAAAATAGTTTCCTCATACAGTCTGTCTTTAACATTCTTGTTTGTTGAAAATATATTAAATACATAAAAACTGCTATTGAAGGACTTATAAATACACTCTACAGTTAGTATCTATTCTTTTAGATTTATTATATGACAATATTAATTGCCATTAGTCAAGCACATTATGTTATATCTCATGGCAAATACTCTTGGTTACATAATGCTAAAGATAAGGGTTGGAAGTTTTAACTACAGCAAATTGCAAGGAGGCCTAAACTGGAGACAAAGACTGAAAAATACCAAAGTTACTCTTGTTGTGATCCAACATTAATTAATAGCAAAAATCTGCCCTATCTGACGATTAAACATTCAATTTTCCATCCTTTTTCATTTTTGCATTTTAGCAGCGAGTATAGAAGCTATTCTTACTTATGCAGCCATCTAATGACCACATCTTACTTGCCTGTTTTGATTTAATGGGCAGACTTACTGGTTTTATGTCCCTGTGCAGGAATCCCACAGAATGAATACTTTCAATAGATTCCAAGATCTGCTTCCCAAGCCGCAGAGTGGTACTAATGGTGAACGTCCCTCGAGACTGGCTACGACGCAGGTCTGCCAAGTTCCGACCCTGATAAAATTAAAAGGGCATTTTCATAGAAAAATACTAATACCAAGATTCACAGATGCTGTAAAGTCTTCCAACTTCTTCTTTAGTGGTTTATGATTAACCATGAAATACTCCCAATACCTATTTTCACACTCACAGGTAGCACATCACACCTAAATGTAATGACTGTATGTCCACAAGTATCTCCAACACTAAGTTTAGGATTTGCTTTTGAAAATGCAAACTTAGTACCTGTCTATTCCTAAAAACATGGAACAAACTAATCTCTATCAGAAGACCAGTACAAACACAATTACTTAAAGTTGTATTTTTGTCACACCCAAAAAAGGCCCCTGAGAAAATGCTCATGAAGACTTCTTCACACTCACTTTTTTAAGGAAAAGTACATAATTTAAATGCACATTATATCAAACAGATGAAAAATATATCATGTAGGAAATGCAACCCCATGACATTATAGAACTGTTCTTCTACATTAACAGATGGACAACAGTAGGCACTAGAACACACTTTGGTTCACTATTCATATTCACCAGGATGACAAAGGACATTAACCCCATAACTCTAAGTACTAAGCACCTATTTTATCCCTTTTTAATGAACAAGTCCTTTAGTAAAATGAAGTGTTTTCTTTTACTTGCATAGGATAATTTTTCATTTTCATAAAAAAAGCCAACAAAATACAGAGGCTCATATAACACATTTTAGACTATCTTCAAGTGAAGACTAAAAGGGAAGGTAAAATATCTCAGAAGACATCACAGTTTACTCTTCCAACAGTCTGGTCTTTCTCAGGATGCAAGCTTTCTCCCTTTTGAGAGAATTATGGAAAGGATATAAAAGGAAAAAGATACAAGGATATGCTCAATTTACATTCACTTACTACAATGCATTTGTGATCTTTGGGGTTTCTTTTGTTTGCTTGTTTAGTATCCTCTAAAATTTCACTTCTATATTCATATACACTTGGCTAAAGACACAAGCAAACATTGAACACTTTGATACACTAACCTGCAACTGCATGACCACATAGTTAAATCTGTCATTCCGTCCACATCCTATGAATCTACAGACATGATCTTTTCCTAAGAGAAAAAAAAGCAAATTAGCCAATAACAATGAAATTTTGTGGTTTATTCCTGTAAATAGCTAGCAAATTACTGGAAAATATGTAAAATAATAAATTAAGCCCCACACAGTTCAACAGCAATAAAACCAAAATTAGTTCTACCTGCAATTAAAGAGAAGCTTTCTCCCATAACCACAGCTCTCACTCTTACACAAGAAAACATGCATGACACCATGCCTAAATGTCAACAAATTGGAGACATTTTGGACTGGAAAAGGTTATTTTCTTACAAATCTAATGGTTTGTAATAGACAATATTCCTAGCCAATATTCCTCTTTTCTGTAAGCTGCAGATGCCATGATGAAAGGAAACCGTAGTACTACCTGTGAGTTATGTTTTGTATTAAAAAAATTGTTGAAAATGTAATTCAACTAATCTAATTTATTAATATCTTTCTCTAGAACACAATCATTGCTGTTTAGCTACAAAAGATAAATTCAGCTCAGGTATACTGAAAAAGGGGGAAAAAAAAAATCAGAGTTTTGTTTAAGCCGATTTTCTTTAAAGCCTCTTCCTGTCCTAGGAGCAAACTGCAGAGAAGACAGGTCAAAAATAATCTCCTTGCTATCCTGCAGTTGTAAATCAAAGCAGAAGATTCCCCAGGTAAATACAGAGAAAAAGGCAAGCCAAAGGCTGCAGCTGGAAACAGAATGAGAATGCAAGCCTCTTGTCATTTTGGTACCAGTGTTCATTGACTTGGAGAAAAGCTGTGACCCCTTATGATCCCAATCTGCCCCATTCTTTGACAGAACAGGGAACTGTGGGATTAAAGTTCCTCAGGCCATTTACCTTCCTTTCTCACACCAATGGAAGCTACAGCCAACAGCAAGCTGATGATCTCAAGTGGTTGCTAAAGATGTATAAATTTGTCACCTATTATTTCTATCATTAATATCTTTACCCTTAGGATTACAAGAATGCCATAACCAGGGAATCCCCATCCCACTCATTACTGTTTTCAAAACACCCTAATGTCTAGCTACAGATCTGAGGGGACTTTTTGCTACTGCTGCACTGTAGCTCCATCAAAACCCTAAAACTTGACCCTACAGCTTCTAAATGGTTTTAATTCAATTTCAAACTTGACATAAAAGTGGTTGCCTGTTTCTTGCTTCCTCAGGAAGCTGCCTGCCACATCCAATTAAAACAGGTTGGTAGGCTCTCAAACAATGAAAATTTGACAAGATCCATCAAAATAATTTATTTTAAAAGATATATCTACATTTCTGAAAATATGTAAGTGCTAAACTTTAAGCATCACTATTTTTTCTCCACTTTTTCCTTCCACCCATTTGTTCAAGACAGGCAATATTACAGACAGTATAATTTTATGAAGAAAAAGGATTAGTAGCAAATTTATCAAGATGAAATTTTGTATATTCATTCCTGTAGTTTCCATTAATGAAGTCTCATCTTAAATAGTTATGATTAATTTTACAGCCACTTGTGGGTATTGTGAAGGAACATCTCCAGAGAAAGGTATATTAGTCAGATTTTATCTGACTAATTCAGTAAATGTCTAAAACTCAGTTTAGTCAGAGAAATCCCACTTTGACAGGAGCACCAACTCAGTTTGTGTGGTAAATTTCCTAGAAATTTTTACATAAAATTGAGGAAAGAGGAAGAACAGAAGTAGAACATAAATATCTTATTCAAATAGAATGATCCTCCACCACTTCAGTGGGGCTGTGCACACCTACTACAGCCTTTTCCTCAGCAGGAAAACAGTATTTTCTTACACCTGTGACCTACACTGCTGAGCTGCAGAGTGAGAAGATGATGTTAATAGGCTGCAGGGAACAACTCTGCCCTTGAAAAATCTCCTAGGGAGGGTGCTAAGCCTGTGTGCCATTCCTCAGGCTGCTGCAGTGTAGCACTACAGCAGCTTTACAGCCTACACCAGACACAGCCCATACCTAAATTACACTCCAGAGCTGTAAATGAGTGAGGGAGAAGTCTGTAAGGTTGTGTGAGACAGAAACCAACTGAGTGAGTCTCACTCTCACTGAGTGAGATGTGATAAATCTGTCTTCTCCCATCTGACTGTGGGAACAGATGGCCTAAAAACATGGTTAAACAAAACAACCATCTGTTGCAGCAGATTTCTTTAAAAAAAAAAGGCAAAAATAAGAAACTTAAAGAGTTAAACAATATTCTGCAACAATAATTAGGAGACAGCAGGGAGAAGAAAAATTAAGATGTAATTGATGACTAAGCTGCAATAAATGGCCGTATCAGTGAGCCTAGTCCTCCTTCACAATTGAGAGAGAAGTCATACAATTGCTCACATATTCCAGCAGGTTTTGCTAGCTCAGAGTCTTAAAAAAAACTTATTTGAAGTTTTTCATTAGTCACTGTACCATATACAAAGATACTGCTTTTATATACTTCATTATACCACATAGTTATTACTCATTTTACCCCTGCAATAATGATCACACTGTTCTAATTTCAAAAGTATCTGAAAATGAAGAATGGTAACAAATAGTGCATCCCTACTTCTGCAAACATCTATTCTTATATCAGTTTCACAGTTTCTGTGAAGTAAGACCCTAGTACAGATACATTCAAAAGCATGTTTATAACTATAGTAGTCCTAGGGATATTTATAAAAATGTCCCTTGGACTACTATACACTAGAAGAACACATCTGTTGATTTATTCTCTTCTAAAAGCCTGTTTCTTTATAATATTCCACAAACTGTGCAATATTTTTTAAAACTCAGATCCACACATGAAGAAAATCTTCACCAACACTGCAAGCTCATTGTCTCTTATTACAGAGGAAATTTTCCAAAATTTGAAATAAAAAGGATTTTCATGACAATTCTATTCCTTCCTCTCTACAACCAATGTAACTAGAACACTTTGCAAGAAGAGAACCTAAACCTATAGAGAAGAGAAGAGTAATTATATGTATACTCATACATACACACACCAAAAAGGGGTAGAACAACAAGATAAAAGTTGGTCTTAGAGGACGTATGATAATGTAAAGTTGTTACAAAAACATCCTAAAAGAACTGTTTACAATTTCACCTGGTCAGAATCTTCATAAAAAGAAAAAAAAATGTCAAAAATAAGACTAATTTCTACATTATAAGAAAAGCATTTAGGAATAATAAAAAATCTTTAAGAAGTAATTATAAAGTTGTTTTCTATTCCCCATTCTCATCCACTTTTCTTCATTTTCCCTATGCTTCAAATTTTTAGCACTTCCATAATGAAGCTTGTGACTGTAAAGAAATTAATGCAAATGGCTCCTAGGAGAAAAAATTTCCTATAAAACATAAAATGGTCCCTACCCTAACCTTATTTAACAAAAACCTTCCAAGTATGGATAAAAAAAAGCTGCATGTAAAACTAAAGTATTGTATCTACGCAAATTATAAATCACAATATATGCAAAAGGTTCATTGACCCATCTCTTCACTAAGTTTTCCTTACTGATCACTGACCATATTCCTTGTCTAAAACCAGAGCAGTAACAGTGTTAGGTGTAAACTTCCCCAACAATGACTGGAGGTCACCTCTAGTGTTACTATCACCACCAACTTCTTTTTTTTTTTGTGGTGCAAGAGAGCAACAAGTTATAAAAGATAAGGAATAATATCTTTAGATTGTTTTCTCATAAGAAAGATTGGAAAAAGTGTTATTTTTAACGATCTCATATAAAATCTGATTTTAAGTTATACAAAATCTTCCATTTATTATTTGCTCAGAAAAATAATACTGAGAAAATAAATAACATAAATATTTATTTGGATTACATATTTTGTGGATTATTTGTCTCAGTGGAACTGTTGTTCATGTGTTTCATTGTTCTGTTCTTTTCATCTAGATGTTTCCCATTATTGAATAGAACCAAAGACTCTTCTGTAGGAAGACTTGGACTGTTTGGAATTATAGTTTCCTAATTATTCCTCGGAGAGCATAACTTCTGTAAGGCCCTATCACAATTTTTCACACATAAATATTTTATTATTTCATCAACTTTTTTCCGCATGTATTTCAAAAGATAAAAAAGTTTTGACTAACAAAAAAATCTGTTTTCTAATACCCTAACTGAAATTCCACCGTACTGTAATCAACAGTGCAAAGTTAAAATGCACTCCAGTTACACAGTCCTATATAAGGTTATGATTTCATAAATCCATTGGCATTGTAGTGCTACCAAATTGCAGTGTTTTCTTTCAGCTCTACTAATTTCCTTATCATCTAGTTCTTTCATCTATTCCATTTTAAGGACTCTGGGTCTTGTAAAATAGAATCAAGCTCATGTGTACAGAAAAAGACCCACAAACTCTTGGAAAAAATTAATTCTGAGCATTTAAAAACCCCAGGAGTTACAGAGTATTTTGTTCTTCAAAACTCATTGTCTTCAGGATAATTTCTTTCAAGAATCCTGACAAATGTTTTCCAAACTTTCAAGTGGCAATATTGAAATTTCCTATTCATCTCTGGACTAGAAACTTTAAAATTCTAAGAAAATCTCCCTGCTCAGCTATATAATAGTAGATGTTTTAGTGAAATCCTTGAAACAGACAAAAGCATAGGAACAGTTTGTTACCATCATAACATGTGACATGCTTGCCCTCTTAAATCTATAGAGGCTGTCAATTCCTGCTGCAGCGTGACCTTTACAGCACATTAGGCAGCACCATATGTCATGCAGACTTTGTTTTATACAAAGTAAGACTTTGGAAAAACTGGGCTGCTGACAGGAATGCATGTATTATTCAAAATCTTCCAGAATAAAAATAATAATTTTTAAAGAAAAAGTAATTGTTTAAACTATCTTTCTGTAATCTTGTGTTGCAAAAACCAATGAAGAGAAGTCACTGCATATTTCTCTGTATTGATAACTTCATTAAGTATCTAAAGGTACAGAAAGTGTGACTATCCAAACTCTGGTTCAAGGAATTGAACTCTGGAAGTATTTCAGGATTTTATATGCCAGTAGTTTTCTCATACAAGTTACAGTATTTTAAAGCCAGAGCTTTTGCTCATGGGGATTTTTTAAGTATGTTTCCTATTTCAATATTAGAAATGTCAGCAATACCTGCAAAGCAAAGCAAACAAATATTCTTAACGCATATGCTATGTGAAGGACCCTCAAATATTCAATGCTACAGAGTACAGAAAAAAAAAATCTTAGAAGAAAAAATAAAAACAAGAATAACAAAGTCTAGAGCAAAAAACAAAGAGAAGATATGGATTCAGAACAAACTAAATCTGAACCAAGATTTTTGCAGCAATTGAATTTTTGTTCGTTTTATTTTCATCTCATCCCATTTCAAACAAAAGCTTCACTGTAGCAAAACTTTCAGCATCTGAAAGAGCTTTTATTCCACTTTTAATAATCATTTACCAAGAACCTGCAGAATATAGGAAATATTTACTAAAAATATTATTATAATCACAATTATTTTTTAAAGAAGATACACTGACATTCTACTTCTCACATATCCAAGGTATAGCCCTACCTTGCAGCTTCTTCAACACAGCTACTTCCATTTTCAGCACTTGCTTTGGCTGCTGAGCTGATTCGACCTTCAGTGCAACATTTTCCCGAGTAAGCAAGTCCAGTGCATCGTAAATTTCTCCAAATCCTCCACCTCCTATTTTCCTCAACTATATTGGGGAAAAAGAAAGAACAAAAACATATTTTTAAGAGGGGAGAGGAAAGAAAAAAAACAGCAATACGTCTTTGTTCTGCCTGTCATACTGCAAACCCTGTTTTATTACAAATAGATTTAAAAATAATAATTACATCCTTCAGTACATAAAAGAGCTACTGAATAATTGACCAAGGTATGGCTAACCACAGTTTGGAAGAGAACACACCTGATCCCCATCTGCACTATTGTATATAGCATAATAGAAGACTGCAGTAGTATTCCCAGCATGAATCTGGGCAAAGCCAGCATGCTGAATAAAGTCGTTCCTCAAATAGTCACACACAGCCCAGAGATCTTTAAATACAAATGCACAGTGACATTTTTAAAATATACCATCTTTTTGTCCTTTCAGAAATAAGCACACTGAATAATAACGGTATAAAGTCATACCAGTTTTTGGACTTCCTGAAAAGAGGCAGTATTATCTGTTATGTGGAGAGACTTCCATACAGCAGCTAAATCATAAATTATGAGAAATGGCTTAGATTATCATTGAATATACATCTCAAATGTTACTCACATTCACTTAAAATTCACCAATATCATTCTTATTTACAGACAGACTCAAGAAACTTGCAGCACTGAAAGTTTCATCTGTGCAAGAAAGAGGTAAAAAGAATGCTCATAGCATACTAATTAGTTTGCACTACCTTCAGAGCAAATATTAAAAGGTGTTTCTTTCACTCTGCTTTAAGTGGTCACGGGGAACAGGCACCTCTTTGGTTTTCAATATCAAAAAATGTCAATGCTGTTTCACAAAATGCCTCCCCTGGCTAACATTCTAAAGCTGATAAAAGAGAAAAGGAGACAAAAAAGAACTTACCCTAAGACTAATATGGTTTTCTAAATGTCATCTGAAAGCATACAGTTGCTAACATTATATGACTACACTGTATAAAATGTCATCTAAACTGTCCAGGGTTCTAGAGAGCAGCACTATGCTGACCTATTTTCAGATTCTGAAAAGTAATCTAATGTCTCCTAATTAACACCATCAGACATTTGACTGAGCTTGAAAAACATTTTTTAAAATAGCCTAGGCTTTATGAATAAAGAAGGAAACAGATAACACATGAATTTTCAGCATAGTACAAGCACACCAGTGAGAATACATGGTGAAAAAGGTGAGAGGAAAAGGAAAGAGGTGACACAGCCATCCTCACCCCCTTACAAATGTAGACACATTTATCATCTAACTTCATTTGCCAGCTTTGAGAAATGGCCAGACCACGAAAGACTGCTGCTGAAAGCATTGTTTCTCAACATATGTGCTTAAAATAAATTTAAAACAAACAAAACCATCACTACAGTAACAAAATAAACAGATCAATTTATACCTTCAGCTAAAATACACAAGAATCATTAACATACACCCAATAATTACACCACTCAGTAGTTCCAGGCACAAATTAACCTGTCTTTGATTACAGAAAAAAATACTTTCCATGTCCTTTGTCACTGAGTCACACACATTCAACAATAAGTCCATGTTTTCTTTGGGTTTTTTTTTTGCTGCCAGCATCCCTATAGAAGCTTTTCTTGTTGCTTTTCACATCCTTCACCAGTCACAACTGCCAGCTGAGCTCTGGCTTTCCCACATATTCATCACACTGAGGCAACATTTCCAGCATAATCTTGGGCAGCCCATCCCTGCTCCCACCTTCTGTTAATTTGCATTTTGCTGTCCAGTTCACACAGGTGGTGACCACTCAACCATACTGGTCTCCTGCCACACCTGCTCAACATCTTTTACCTTGATGAAGACCACATTGTCCTTGTTTACACCTGCATTACAATTTCCCACTTTGTTCTTTAGTTTCAGCCTTCTCTTTTTGCATTTAGCATCTCACACCCCAAACTCTTTCTCTCCATTCTCTCTTTGATTTCTGTGCCTTTATATGCTTTCAGGCTAAAGCATAAAATTTCGAACAAGTTTTAATCTTTTTGCTTACACTACATATTGAATGGCATTCTTAAATACATCTAAAATCAATTATCATTACAAGCAAGTCTCTCCAAGCAGGGATTGTAATGTTTCAAAGGCAAAAAAGAGGCACGAGGAAAGGCATCAACAAAGAAAAAAAGCAAAAGCTAACAGACAACACTAGAGAAGGAGGTTGTCGCTGGGGAAAAAATATTTTATAATTTTTTTATGCTTACTTTTCAAAATAGAATCACCCTAATTAATGTCTAGGTTAAAATTAAACTAAATTGAACATGGTTTTTTAAAACGTTCATGTCCAAAAATTTTAGATTTGGTTTTCTCAACTGCAATGAACAAGGTCCTCAACAATAAAAAAATCCAAAAACCACACTTCAGTTTCTTCTGCTGGGAGCCGCTCCTATGAAATCCTGAATTCAGGAAGTCTGAATTGCCTTAGATGCCATCAAGAAGTCCTTAATGTTTGCTACAGAAGATAAGAAATTGAAGAGCTACCCACAGGAAATATTTTGCACTCATCTACCTGTAATACTGTATCTGGAAAACATAAAAGTGAAAATGTGTAATTACATGAAATGAACTTCAGCATACTTGCAAAATTTTCCAGAAGACACTTATGTCATCAGCAGTCTTCATTACATAGGAAAGAAAATAAACCTGAAGAAAACACAGCCACTGTTGCATAGATCAGACAACTAAGTGGTTTTGTGGCTAGTGATATGTATGTTATTATCTATTATATTTTGTATATTATTGTATTTTAAATGGTATTTTATACTATTTGCTCCGATTCAAGACTATGCTTTCTGTTTTTACTTCACTGCTGTATTGAGATTAAATATAAGCAGGTATTTTACAAATACTTACACTCCAGAGATAGCTATTTAGGTTCTATTTACCTGGAAGGAAATATAAAGATTCCCCACACAACGTTAATATCAGCTTCCTGCATATTTAAGTGAAAGACAGAGTACAACAGAGTTGAAATCATTCTCTCTTATGAATTTAAAATTAATGATTAATTTGTATCTTCTATGTTCAGTCTTACAGTTCCAAAAAATTTGAAATAAGAGAGTAATATAAAGTGAGCAATTCAAAATCCATTCACAGGCCACTACACACACACACAGATACTCTAAATGTTCTATTGTGAACTGGTCTTTTTTTCCCTTTTTTAAAATTCTAAGTTAAAAAAACCAAAATGATCAAGAGGAATGGAGAAGGAGCTACAAAAACTCAGCCTGTTTCTCCCAGCAAAAATAGCTTCAACTGGACACTATTTCCCTCAAGATGCAAATCAAGGATATGAACAGCAAAAGGGAACAGAGCTATTTATGGCAAAGCCAATGCTGGCACACAATCAAATGAATACAAATCAGCTGAGAATAAATCTATGCCATAAAATCCAACAAACAAAAGGAAGAGCAGCAAGGCCCTGAAAAATCTTCCTATAAGGAGTAACATATCTCACAAACCTACTGGTTTCAGGGGAGGGCATCTGACTCATCTCCAAAATGGACTGATATAATCACTGGCTCATTGGGTTCAATATACTAACAGTACTCTTCCAATTGTGCTTGGATCAGGCACTACATTGGGATTTAAGAGCTCTCCTAGGTCCTTATCAGGAAAAAAAAAAACCACTCTAAATCCTCATCACTTTTCTTTAAAGTAGGGTAAGAGAAACAAGTAGTTTTAAAGCTCATTCACAATTAATTTAATTACTAAGCAAAATATATCTCATAAGAATTTTCAAATTAATTTCAAAGCACAAACCACTTCTTTCTAAAAAGAAAAGAAGACACAGAATTGCAGGAAGGCATACTCACCACCTTCCATCTTTCTTTGACCAATATTCCCACACTGAGGATGTCAGGCTGATCCCCTCCTCCACTCATTGCAACCTCCTGAGGTGATGGAGCTGCTATGCAAAGTCTGTGTCAGTAGAAACCATCCAGATCCCAGGAATGGCTTCCATTTAACCAGTCGCTGCAGAAACAGAGCAGAACTCAGTGACTAACCAAATAACAAGAAATAGAGCAAAAGTTTTGTTTCTCATCCAGCACCTTAACTAGTTTTTGTATCCCACAGTGACTAACATTGAAATTTTAGTCAGTTTCCAGTACAGAAAAAAATTCAAGGATAGCCTTCCTTAATTTTCCAACTTGCTCCCTCCCAAATCTCCAATACCAATCTCAATACAGAACTACTAAACTTAAACATTTTCAGAGGTATATTCCACAAGCAGTTTCAAATTGCTGCAAGGCATAATTACATTTAAACCTAATTTTAATAATCCCTTTTAAAATTAGTAGCTTATTAAATAATCTAATTAATAACTTATTCAATAGTTGTTTAATTAATTTATAGTAATATATAACAACATTAAAATAATATTAAGCAAAAAATTACTATGTTAGAAATAGATACTTAAGTTTCAGTTGCACTGCATACAGACTACTTCACATTTTACAATGTGTTTCACATAGCTAGGATTATTTCTGATTAAATACATCTTAAGTACAATTATCTCAGGCTATAAACAACTGGTTTTGGTAAGGGAAAAAACCCTTTCTTTGGTAATTTTGACAGTTCATTTTTTATTTTATTTTCTGGTTTTAGCAATCATTGCTGAATTGGTTTATAGATAGTATTATAAAAAATTGTACTTTGGAGATTAACATATCCATAATGGCTCCCATCAGCAACTACTACAACCAATTAAAAGCTTATTTCAATTCTTTGAGCTTTTCTAGAACTGGGCTTATTGTTACACTGGTGTAATTATACAAATGTAACTGTTTGTATAAGCCCTCTTATCCAAAGACAACGCTCTTTGAAAAGTATGTTTGCTTTAGGTTATTTCCATGGCTTTCAAAATAGCATAACTACAAGTGAACAATGCTTCTCTCCCTGAATTAACACACAAATGATATGCAAAATTGGTAAAATCATTCTGATTTAAATCAGCAGTATGGCCTTCCATGTGGCTAACTGCCAATCTTACTACTGGGACTAAAAGATGCTTTTTTAGTAAACATTCCACTGCTTGAACAACCTGGCTTTTTAAGACAAATGTTTGTTTGACACAACAGAAATTGGGGTTGTTTTCCATGGTTTTTTGATATTTCTTTTTCATGTTGTATTTATGCCTTTTTGCTTAAATTGGACATGATGACAGTTGAACCAACTCCAGATAAAAGAAACTCCTCTGAAGAAACATTAATCTGGATTGGCTGAGGATCTAAATTTACACCCAATGAGAGTGCATTATGTGCCTGTAAAGGAGTGTTCATTCAAAATACATAGCCTAAATTGATTTAATTCAAACAAATGAAGGGAAAACAAATTAAGATTGTGTATTGCGAGTAACAGCATCCATCCTGCAATTTAATCAGGTTCAACTAAACCAATTCAAATTCTACTGGTGATAGTAAATTCTCCCCTGCAGATAAGGTCAAAATTCTAAAAAAACTAGAGCCATTTATGTGAACCCCTTAACATTACTAACCACAGACCACACTCACTGTCTTTTCTAACAGAATTATCATAACCCACTCAGGAACAAAGATGAAACAGAAACTCACTAATGAAGGGGAAAAGATCTACTTCCAAAATTACATACTTAAAGCACATACAGCGGCTTTTCCCCTTCTCCCCACTTTAACTCAAATGTTTGCTTTCCTTTCTACCACCTGTCAGTTACATCAAAGCATGGGTTGGTCTTGAAAAATTGTTCACTTCTATACTGGAATTCCAAGAAGGTTTATTTTTTTCCTGATACTTGCTTAAAACAAGTAATGGTGAAACTATTCATCTCACCAGAGCAAAATCTAAAATTGCAAGTAAGATTTTTGCTGAAGCTTTCAAACATGAACAAAATTCATCACCTGTAGGAAAAGTGCTTTATTAAATCAAAGATATGACAATTCAGAGTTTTTTGTTAATTCTGCTATCAGCCTTGATTCCTGATTTGATACTTATTTTCTTTTTTTAATACATTTAAATTTACAATTTATAGTCACAACTCTGACAAGTATTTCTGGCAGCTGTGCATTTGTGAATTCTTGAGCAGACTAAGAGAGCGTCAGCAACTGGCCCAGAATGCAAAGGTCCAACGCATACACTCAAAGAACCACCCTGTATTTTAAGAATTGCCGTAGAAGTACTCTATTGCTGTATGTAATATCTGCATGGCCAGGGTTACAAAATCTTCATTTGCATACAATTCCTCAATCCTATTCTAATACACTAATTCCTTGTTAAATCTCTTTCATCCTAGATCATTACAAAGCAACCATATCTATTCTATATCATCAAAACCAGGTATTCAAAGCCATAAAACACCAGGATCCATTGAACTGTCCTGCATGAGAGGCCAAAGTTCTCTCATGAGGCCCTGAAGACAAGGTGCTAAGCTCCTCCTGAAGCTTAATAATCAACTGCAAGCATTACAAACATGTTGATGTCAAATTGAAGAATCCTATTTTTTTCAAGACTTAAGTAAAGCAGAAGAAGGATTCAGTGACAAATTTCAAGGCCAGAAGGCTTGAACTTGGCCCAAACCTTTTCCTGATCAGGCCACTTCATAGCTTCAACCCGTTTCAGTGAATTAGCACACACTAATATGTAAGACTCCAAATGTTCTTCACTGCTAACACGTTCCAGTATGTTTCTTTCCTCACAATAAACATAACTTGCTTTGTTTCAAGGTTTAATGCATTTAATTTTAACTTTTTACCACAGGTTACAGTTTTGGTAACCAAATTCCATTTCCAGTAATTTCACTTCATTTAAACACCTAAAAATATTTTTTTAACTTCCTGTAAATTAATACATTTAGTTTTAAGCCTTCCTTCACAGCCATGGGTCTTTTATATGGTCCTTCTTCAAAACACCCCTCTCCTTGCTCCACATTTTTCTTGTGGTGTGGACAACAACATTGAGTTAGACATCCACACTGAATTAGACTCTATCATACCAATTCCTAATATGGAGAAAAGTTTTTCTTATTACTTCTTTGTGGTAGAAGTCTTATTTCCCTAATTTAAGTCTGAAAATGCTTTATACTTTTGCTAAACCACAACACTATCAGACACTTATACATTTATACAGTTATACCCTATAACACTTAAATACCTCCATCCTTACACTCAGGCATATTCTTGTAGCAAGAATATGGTTTTTGAAGACCTTATTCACAATCTAACCCAGGCAGAGTTTCATTGCTCTGATGTGGTCTCTAATGGTCTTAAAACTGTATAATCTGCAAATCTGTTAATTATTTATGTACTGCAGTGGATAAATATCTTTATATTCCTTACCTAGTAACAGATAACATGTATTCTAGTAGGTGCAATTTAGACTACAATCACCTTCCCCAAATTTATACAGAAGAAAAGGACATTACTAGAGATGACTACATTTAAAGGACTTTTGGACAGATATAAATATGCATTCTTTGGAGGTGGTTCTCAGGTCTAGATTGAAACTGAAATTTCTCTGAATTTGAAAGGATTTGAATTCAGACTGACTGGCCCATTCCAAATTTCACAGATGAATTAAAGACTCATATAAGTAAATACCGTTGCATCTGTATTACTGAGATACATTGTTTTCGGCACAGCTCTTTACCAGGCTATAATACTGTTAACAATTTAAGAAAGCTGCAGCATGTTCTGTATTCTACTGAAGCAGATGAATAATTAATGACACACAGTTAAGGGGCAAGCTTTCCCTTACTCATTCAGCAGATGAATCCTTTAGCAGTGCAGTTTTTTAGGTGGCAGTAAGGCTATTTTCAGCAAAACAAACATGTCTTTACAATTCTCCTAAAAAAGTAACAGTCACTCTAATTGCAATAGATATAATTAAATTCTGTATTCATGAACTCATCAGTTTGTCACTTCAGAGACACTTTTCAAGATAACACAACTACAATGAAAGACAATTAGCCCTCGGTCAAATTTATTTCCAGGTGAGAGGTCATGGAGTAACTAGGGCAAGAGAATGAGGATAGACTGTTCCATAACATAAGCCTTTGCTGGGAAATGATTGCAGTATAAATCAAGAACAGGAAAAGGAGCATTAGAGCTAATATCCAGAATGCTGTACAGACATCCATTATTTAAAACCTTTCTATTCACTTTAACTGATTTTAACTACACATTAGCCTTGTAAAAGATGAATTTACCCCATCCAAGTACACTAAGAGATTATATGGTATTTGAAAATAACAGTGCAAAAGTTCCAGTAAAAAGGGCAATCCTTGAAAGTATTTGTGTATATGTCTATAATTCCCTTAGAGAGAGCCTAAACTGAAGCCAACCTCTGCTTACCAGCCTTTATGGATGCTTAAATTCAGACCTAAGGCTGAAAAAGTAGCACAGACAATTTTGGCCTAATGTAGATACTGTAAGTTCCAGGACAAAGCAAGGGAGCACAGAAGATTACTTCTGTTCCATAGAAAGGAACATATGTCGTGTTGCCTCCACTATGGAATAGTATTGACCTTTTGCTATTAGGAACTCCCTGAGCATACTAGGAGCCCTACCTGCCTGTCTTCAACTCATTCAAAAAATTAGTAAACCAAATGAAATCTGCCTAAGATGGTTTCCATTTCTGTATTTTCTATTTTTAAGCAGAACTTGAAGAACAGAGAACATTTTAAAAGGCCAGAATAAAGAGAAAATCAGGGCAGGAAATGTTCAAAGGTCCTAATTTCACCACATTTACAGCAAAGCCCACTGTCTTAGAAAGGCTAAGAATATGTTCAAATTGTTAATTCCAGGGATAGAAATTATTTAAAGGCATCTATTTGAACATCCAAACTAGAAAGCCATCCTACACTTAAACCTGAATATTTTCTAAATACATCCATTAAAAGCTGGTGTTTTGAAAAATCATCATTCATCACATCAATGAGAAAATTGAATTTAAAATCTTGACTTAAATTTCCAACTGTACTGGTTGTGAAGAAAATCTTTTTA